AGGCTTCGCAACTTCTAGAAACCACCTCTCGCGAAGGCTGAAGCGGAAGCCGCTACCTGCAAAGGTGCTGGAGAGAACGACGCCCGAAGGCTAACAAATGCCACGTGAAATCAATACTGACATTGTACGACTGGTTCCTTTCGGCCAGTTCATGGTTTCTTACTGCTGAAAAGAGCGGAGTTGGAATTTTTTCTTGGAAGTCCAAACAGTGGCACAAACTGCCTAACAACGCATGCAACTGCTGTCAAAAAGCTCGAAGGAAGCAGCTCACTCAGCTTCCCAACGCACAGAGCACACAAAGCCCACAGGAATCCCGAGTCTACAATTTTTTTTCATCTCAAATAGGCTTCATTCTCCAAGGTAGCGGCCTCTAACAATTCTACTATTAAAAGACCTTACAAAGTCTCTCTTTGAAAAAAGTTCATAAATCCCCGTGTTGCTCTTGTAATTGCATAGTCGCTGAGGTTCATAAGGATGCTCAAGCATCTTCCTTGTAGAGTTGCCCACCATTACAAACAGAAATGGCATTTTAAGAAAAACAACAGACAAGAAAGAAACACTGAGGCTTGTCTACCAAGATGGCCTTGTAAGGCAGCACTCAGCCTACTTCTCATGCCCAAATAGTATCTCACCAAGAGACCCGCAACATGATTTTCAAAAAAGTTGCCCAGCCAACAGAGCCGTAGCTGGACGTGCTGAGCCAACGCTGCAGCTCTCTCAAGCCAGCCCTATTAAACTTCAATAGAACCCTGTAGCTGATCGAAGATGAATCAAGTCCTCTTTATCTTACTCTAAAAAAGAAACAGACAAAACACCTAGGGGATCATTACATTTACTATCAGAAAACAGTGCTTGCTTTGAGGGCAAGAGATAGCTCAAGCCGAAGCTTTTTTCTCCTACGCTGTATTTTCCTTCATTCGTGGTATTTTCCATACTGCTGAACAGAAGCCACTAGTAATTATGACTTCAATTATTTTAGTCTTTAAAGGTAAATTACACCACTTATACCAGTGGAGACATGTTTTTAAATAAAACATGAAAGTAACGCAGATAAAAATGGACACAAATCTAATCAAGCAGGTCCTACTCTTAATAAAATTAAGAAAGAATAATCCCATCATCATAAAAACAAATAGGTTGGCAATATTTATAAATATGAATATTATATCATAGAGCTCTTCGCATGTATACTTATTAAGATCCAAACAGCTGAAGTTAAGGCAGTGTTCGCTTCAGAACGCACAAAACCCAACCCCCTCCATACCGACCCCCCCAATTAGCCTCCCCCAACTTACAGCTAAGGTCAAACATCAGTGGAAAAGGGCTAAAAGTGATAAATCTGTGGCATTAACTACTGCACTCCTTTTAATAGAATCCAGCATAAACTCAAAACAGCCTTGCGCTCAGCCTGAACCATTTATCTGAGACAAAAATGTCTTCTTGACAAAAAACAGATCTCCTTTAATAAAAGTAAGGCAGACAGTATTATGCTCTGAGGGAATCCTGTTGCTCTTTTTATATTTATATATAAAAAGAATTCTTCTGTAATACACGTAGATATAAAGAGTGAAGGAAATGGATGCCAAATACATGAGCATTAGAACATCAAATTAGCCTTTGTGAAAGCTGTCCTTATAAATAAAAGCACTGGTGTTAATGACCAGTGGAATTATGTATGTAGTTAAAGTTTTATTATTAAATACACCTTATTCTTTTAGCTTCTTTTTGCTTTAGACTGAAGTTTCACAATTCCTTCTCCCGATAAGCATCTTTATTTGGTTCAATTATTATCAACTCCTTACCAAATGAAAATGAACTTTTGAAACTGCAGCAGTCTGCAGTTTTTTTCCAAAAATTCCTCTTTAATGCAATAAAAAGTTAATAGGGAACAGAAAAAAAGTACCAATCACATTTTAAACATAAAAAGATCAACATGTTATCTTATTTTTCTAAGTTATTTTTAAAATACTTCCTCAAATATTTTCATGTGTTTTGGCTAATCTATGAAAGCAACACAATGATATCTCATCAATCACATCGCTCTATCAAAAGCGCTAAGAATCAAGTTTTGTATTTTTAAATGAGCACATATTTCTCTGTCAACTAAATGTTAGATGTTTAACAGATTTACATTCAGTCACAAAACTGGCGACTTTTGAGAAAGGTCATTATTGCAGACTACACGTGGGTGGCCTAGTTGATGAATTAATTAAGAATACAGAAACAAAGGCCAAAAGAAAATAATTTTTCTTTAAAACTCAAGCCACTAAAGTCTTACACATTTAATTCCAATTACTGAAAAAGAGGACATCTGTACAGCTTTAGTTTTATCCATTTCAACTAATTAACAGATTTCAAATAAATAGTCATTACGTCTAACTGAAAAGTTTGCTAACACTTCATTAGAAGGAAGTTTAAACAAGCACACAACCTTGTTAACATATTTTGGTTTACCACAAAGTTACTTGGGCATCTTGATAATTATTTTTACTCCCTTTACAAATATATCATGACAGCCAACTTCAATAATTCTACATTCCTTTGCATTTATTTAACTACTTCATAATTCAAATTTTCTTAAAGCACCACCAATTTTGAAAGTAGGAGCTATCCTATAAACAACTGCTGGGTATGAGATTTTACTACAATATCTACATTCATAAGGTTTATTAAAAATATTTTTCCTACAGATTTAATCCTGCAAGATTACATTAGAAGATTTCTTTAGTCTTGTATATTTTTCAGTGGTAAGCTAGCATTTCAACCTCTGCTGCGGTAGCACAGTACATCTCATGAAACACATTGAGTTCCACCTCGCTACCTTCATACTGGGTACCTTTGGAACAGCAGATAGAATAAAAAATTAGTGAAAACTTAAAGCTGTAGTTAGGCCTTCTGACTTCAGACCAAAACATGTTCCTCAACTGTCCTACTGGCAAATAAATCTGTATGTTCATACACACGCACAGAGCAGCTCACTCCATCCTTAAAACCTGTGTTGCTATGCTCAAAGTAAATGGACAAGCACATGCGTCATTACTTTGCAAGCCTATAGAGATATATATATATATATAAAAATACATATATACACCCACAAACTGCTTCCCCACTGAAAAAGGGGCTTATTTCTCCTTCAAAAGAACATGCTTGCTTGCCTTATATTTACTGTCTTCCTCTTCCATTTTCTTTCTCTTTTTAAAACAGATTTCTTCCTTTTTTACTATCTTCAAGATACATTTTATTACTTGGAAATTGTTTTATTTCATTACAACACCCAAATTCTTAGGTAGGCTGTGCAGGTAGATAGAAATCTTTATTGACCTGAAGGAGGTGAGGTTTTCCTTTTACATTAGGAGTCCACTGATGATAAGAAAATATCTCCTTTCTGCTTCTGAATTTCCCCTCATTTACGATTAGGCTGACGACCTCTGAAGGCCTGCATGCACACATACACACATATATTTACATAGTTGCTAGACAAATCTCTGATGAAAGGGGTGCAAGGCTTTCAAACTGTTAACTCAGTCCAGAAAACACTTGCTGGGCATTACTAATTCTTGTGGTTTCCCAGTCAGTTTAGGAAGACTGATGTTAGTAATGGGCATCGCCATCCAGCAGCACCCACATCCAGCAGAGATGAAATACTCCAAAGCAGGCATCTGCATCACAGGAGGAAGCAGGAACGCCACAAAGCATTTCTCTGTACCCACCCAGACCTCTTATTTCCCACCTGGTATCTGGAAACTGGGATGATAAACCAATAACCTTAGAAAAATCACTGCCACCCTGCATCAAGAAAACAGAGGCCAAAAGTATGCAAGGCGTTTGTTTTACCACTGTACAGCAATTACTTTCTCTAAAACACAGGTGAGGCTGCACTCTGCGTTAGTCAATCTGCTCAATCACTCTTCTGTTGTCAGTAATAATGTTGTTTGGGTGACTACTATCAGCAAACCAATTTGTCACAGAAGAGTAAAATAATTTCGGAAAATAATACAATGAGGAAGAATCAATGTAGCTCAGTCATCCAGATTTCAAATCAGCACGATGCTTAACTATGACTTTATGTTGACGTATACGAGCAATCACATCGAGTTCAGTGAGATTACTCGCATCGTTTAAAGGTCAGACTTGCTGAAACGCTTTCCTGAACTGAAGCTTCACTCAATTACGTTATAAAAACTAGCCAGAACTACCCAGCCAGTACAAATACGTGCCATCTACACTAGCATGTCATTTCTTGCAGGCTTGCCTGCTTCTGCCATGCTCCTTGGGACAAGGCAACTCACACAACTGCCAAAATCAGAATCTGCCACGTTCCAATGAGGCTGGGTGCACAAAAACTCATGGCAATGGAAATACAGCTGGAGCGATGGAAAAGAACCCAGTGGGGACTGCAAGCACAGAGGACACTCCTTACATTAGGAGGTTCTGCACTGGGGCAGTGTTGAATGACAGCCTTTATTTAAACCATGTACAAAGTGTATTTATTTTTAATGAACTTTCTTGTTGCTAGATGCACATTTCAGTAAGAAAAGATCATTAAAGAGTCTTCTGTACCATGAAAATCTAACAATGTAAAAAAAAAAAAAAATATATTTTTCCTGGGGGGGGAAACAAACAAACAAACAAACGAGTTGATTCTGAAAGCAAGCCTCAGCACTGAAAATAGCTTATTAATTTAATAGCATTTTAAAACTTGACATCACAAAACTATGAATACAAGATGTACAACTAGGATATCTAACTTAGAGCCTCCTTCCGTAGAGAATCAAGACAGAAACTATTTTACTAGAGCTGATGGCTTATTTATGTTACAGCAGCAGTATTTGGACAAGGCAAGCGTTATCATTTTTACAACTACTTTTCCAGAGTGCCCTTTAGGCTTGATAGCTCCCTACTATTGTTAAGGTCAGAGGACAAGTTCATAAAACCTCTAAATCATACATAACAAGAATTAAAAACCTAAGATATATCATTTTTTTTCCCCCTAGGCCTATGCAGAAGGATCAAAGCACAGACAGTGACCATCAGCAATAATGACGACATTAAACAAGGCTTCATGAGAAATTTATGAAGCAAAATTTTTCTTTTTTTTTTTTTTTTTTTTTTCCTGGCATATACAAAGAGCCAAAAGACTTTTTTTTCCCAGGAAACAAAACCAAACCCCAACAGTCAACAGACTTGTTTTAAAACCTGACACTAAGTTTTTAAAGTAAAATAATTTCTTTTTTCCATTCTCTCTTTTTTTTCTTTTCCTTTCATTTCAGTTTTTCAAGAGAAGGCCTATAATGTTATACGAACAACCCCCTTTCAACATAACATTACTTGGCTAAGTACTTCCAAAACTTCCCAGGAACAACCACAGCTCAAACAGCATACTGGGATTTTTGTTTGTTTTCAAGTAAAACATTTTATTTTCCTCTCAGGTAAGAAAATGACTTCTGATTAGTCAGTAATACCGAACTAACTTACCTGCAATAATCATCATAAAGATAAGGGAAAACAAGAAAAAATAATATTTTTTTTTTTAAATTCAATAAATGTCAACATTAGGAAAAAAAATTTACAAAATAGTTACAGAATAACGAAGTGTATGGGACAAACACTGATTCCAGGATCAGACACTGAAATGAGATGATTGATAGAAATGAACAAAAAACCACAGGGATATCTTCTGCCATAGAGACAGTACAACACACCCATGTAAAACTTGGGTGACGATGGTACGGGCTTTTTACCAAATGGCTTGGCCTGACACACTGTACTGTAAGTTATTAGTAAAACAGTACATATGCGCCCCAAAACAGCATCATGCTCGATTACATTCCGGTTTTGAAATTGATGTAAAAAAATTATAAACTTTTATACTTAATATTCAACTTCACTCATCTTTTTAAGCTGGAATTCAACCATTCATTGTATTTCTAGACAATCATATTTTCCAGCCACATTAGATATGAATAAATACAATCAGACTACACATACAGTTCAACTGATCAGCATAAATCAATGTCAATTATGAACAAGTGTTAGCGAGACAAAATGTGACACTTCACACTTGATGTTGTCAAAGTGTCAGATAAATAAGTTATAAAGACAATATACATTTTGGCTTAATTTCAGTCCCAAATAGGACTTTATCAAGCTGCAAGTGCCTGTAAAAGTTTTTGACCCAGCAAAAATCTCATCTATTTTTCATTTTCAAAAGCATAAAATACATTTTCCTGAGATTTTTGTGAAAATGAATGCATATTCTGTTTCTGTGCAAGCTATTACCTGCCCTTCTGCAACTGTCTCTGTATCTATGATAGTGATGATTCCAGGCACCAGAGGACTTCGACGAATGTTGCTGTGAGCTAAAATTTCTTCTTCAGTTGCTCCTGAAGGCAGCGTCCCCGTCAGCTGCGTAACTACCTTCCCAACCATTGTAAGTCCAGTCTTTATCGTCTATAAAAAGAAAGAGAACCAATAAATAATGTTTAAGGCTGTTTTGTAGTTCTATCTTGCATTTTTTCTCAAATTAATACAACTAGATTGCGCACACCAGATGCACACAAAACAAACGTTTCTGTAAGTGATATATAAGCTGCGAAAGGCTGTATGTTACAGAAGTGTCTTGAAGAAAAATAGCATCCTATCGATTTGAAGTATTCGCCTTTATTTTGGAATTAAATGCTCCCAAAACCACTCTTGAATAAAGAAATACTTAAATGTTGCCTAAGAGTTAACAGTTTTTTCTTTCCTTTACTTTGTTACTTATTCCAAGAGGCACAGAGAATGGACAGTTAGGAGAAACAAATGCTGAGCCCGACATGGGTGCGTGTGGAGGGCAGTGTTACACAGAGGAATGCTCCTGGCCCCCAAGGGTTAATGCTGAAAGCATTGTGTCTTCTACACAAGTGCAAGTGACAAGGAGTTTGGCCTTTGACAGATATGACAGACGCATTCATTGGTTTCTCAGCCATTATGCCTTTTGCAGCATTGAAACTGAACGTGGGACTCAAACCCAGCAAAATTAAACCCACCATCCTCAAGGTACCAGAAAGGACAGCTCTGTACAAACTACATGCATATCCCATCACAAATAATGTGACTTTCCATAGTCCGCCTGCTTTCCAGGCGTGGGTTTGAAAACATAGTCACTGCACCAGCTTTTATCATCTTAAGACATGAAGATTTTTTTAATGTGATTTTATTTTATTTGGAGAAAGAGGGAGAGTACACACAGTAGGAGAGAGAGAGATTTAAAGAAAAACAACCCGAACGACAGCTTCAAATATTTTCTCCTTGAATCAAGGACTGTGCCTTATTTGCCTATGAAGAACTGAGCAGATTTATTGTGCAATATAAATATGAAATAGCAAAAGAGATCAGAATGGAATGGCATTGTAACAAGCCAATTCTTAACTAAAAAGACAAGCTAAGCTGCCTGCTAAATTGAAAAGGAAAAAAACTGTACAGATCACAAGCTGAAACCAAGAAGCAGCCACAAATCAATTGCAACTGCTTTGTTTAGTGCTAAAATCTCAAACTGCAGTGATTAGAAAACACATTAGTGTTCATCAATTAGCAGCCAAACGTTTGTTTTAATAATTCATAGGAAATGACTTACACAAAGTCTGTTAGTGTGTTGTCAGGAAAACCTCTGAAGGGCCAACAGAATTAGGCGCCACACTGTATTGACGGCAGCATCTAGCCAGGAAGCCTGATTAACCTCTGAGATGCCTCAGCTGATGTACTTACCCCATTAATGCTAATGGAGATACTACCACTTAAAATCGAGCCATGCCTTTATCATAGGAATGTCTTTGGGGTTTAAAGTCTTTAGTAATATCCTGCCATTTGTTTCTTATTATTTCTTTTTATACTCAGATACAACAAGCAAGAATAAAACAAATTTTAACAGTGGCAAATTCAGAAGACTGAAAAATGTAACACAAAGCAGGCAACGATAACTGAGGAACAGACCCAGAAGAGACCCAATGCCATCACAAGAATGCTTTTCAACAGACACCTTCCGTACAAAAACTGACAAGGCAGTTTTCTGGCCAAAAGTTAAAACCGTATGAAAGGCACTGGCAGTTTATACAGCAGGAAAGAGAAATCAGTATAGCAGCACCGTAAGGCAAAATACCTGTGCAAGTTAAAACACCAAGGATTGTAACTGACCTGTTTTAGAAAGTAACTTATGATATTAGAGCTAGAGAAACTGGATGACAAAGTGCCAAGTATAAATTTATAGCTCTCTGGAAAAAAATTAACATGCTTATCTAGCACAATGAATGACTGTTAGATGTTAGAGTAGACTGCGACTGCAGGGCTACTGAGAAGTAATAGGTGTACAAAGATGTGGCCGAGGCCATTAGCTCAGAAATATCAGTGCAAAACCATTATGGCACTTACTTCTTTGTGCTATGTGTATATTTGCAAAAACTTCTCTGGTAATCTTTAACCTTTCCCATGCCATATCAGCTGTCCCCTCCATCCATTAGAGCTAATGACCTTGCTCTCACATAAGCTGTTAGTACTCATTAAGAAGTTATCAGGTAACAAGAGAAAACAGATGCAGCCTTTGCTAAATCACTTTACTACTATAGGATTAAAAGATATGGAGAAAGAATCAACTAAAGAAGTTATGAGGTGAGAAGAACTTGGTTTATAATTTGATGTTAGACATTCGACAGAGCAAAGACATTTTAAATTAAATAGGTTAAAGTTTGCACTGTCTCAGTTCCTTTGTCAGTGATGAGGACCTGCCAGTGCATACTCAGTGAAATTTTCTTATAAATAAATTTCAAATACTTGATCCAGTTCCTCTTGTAAGGAACAATGCACACTGTGCAAAACACACAACTTATTGGTATGCTCACGTGTACCCTATCTGCTTAAAAATAAGACTGTTCACATTCACTCAAATAAAGAAAGACATATTTAATTGAAATAAATGTACACACTCATATCTCATTTAATTGAAAAATAAGTACAACTTTAATTAGATGAGAAAATTAAAATGCATCATTCAGTGCCTGTTAGGCTGTTCTGTTCTAAAAAAGGTCTTACATCCTTTTAGTGGCAAAACAATATATTGTTCCTGTTTCTCCTAATAAATACATTTTACATTATTTATTTGTTTACAAATGAAAAATCTATAGAAAGCAGAAAGAGATATCAAAAAGATATGCCTTGGCAATCAGCAATATGAAAGCCACAGGAACAACATGAACATACAATCAATTACAGAATCAAGTTCAAACTAAACGTTTGTTGAAATGCTCATGCTTCGCAAAGATGTTTCCCGTTCCTGCTCTTGCCGTATATTCTGAAAAGAGCTAGGACAGGGAAGGAGCCTGTTAGGAAATTCAACTTAAACAGCACGGCAAGTTTGACTGCAAGGGATACATCAGGATGGGGAAGGTCTGCATGAGCCGCCCTTGGGCAGAGAGTGAGCTGAAACATGACTCACTCAGGGACACAGTGAGACCAACCTCTCTTCAACAAAGTATAGGAAAAAAACCCAAGCATGGAGATATACGAATGTCTTTTCCTAATTCCCCCTTCCTTGCTGCATCCAAAATGGATAAATATGGATAATTATAATAAGCAATTTCACATTTGGATGCTTATCTCAAAGCACCTGAATATTCTCCCATCCCTAATACTGTTAAGTAATAATGGGTCTATTCTGAAAGATATTCGACGTCCATTCTACTGTGTTTGTTCAACTGGAGTGAACCTATTTTTATCCCATAAGGAACAGTATTTTCATTTTTCCAAACACATCAATTTCTATCTTTGCTAAACATTAACCTAAACTGGAATCCTGACACATTTCCTATTTCCAGAAATTTTCTGCTTTGTCAAATTACAGAAATGATCAAGCGTTTTAGAACACGGACAGACAGAAAGCCATTAAACAAATGTCAGGAAAAGAAAATAAGAAATTGAGCTGGAAAAAAATGCATGTGTTTTTCTAGCAATGGCAAAAAGCAATGCTCTTGCAAGATGCATCTAAAGAGAAACAGGAAAAAGTTCAATGTTCAAAATAAAATCCTTGTAGAAATGATAAAATTAAATGGGAAGATGAACTAAAGGAATCACAATGTTACCAGAACAAGAATTTTGGCACCAATAAACACCACACTCCAACACGACCACAATTTTGACCTCAGTATTCTCAGTTAACAGGGGAGCTCCTGACTCCTAAGTTATTTGGTTAAGGAAGAAATTCATTTGCTGCATCAAGTATAGCACACAGCAGTACATCACCCTGGGGACACTCACTGTTCACTACGGGGACATCCAAAAACACTTCTCAAAAGGAATACCATTAAATATTCTGTACTGCCACCAGGATCTCCTACAGAGGATCTGAAAGGTAAGTCTCAAAAGTGACCCTTCTGAAATTAACTCTTTGCTCTCACTTTACCTTTCTCCTTTATATGAAGGTTCTTTCACTTTCTTCAATGAGAAACTGGAACCCAAACAGAAAAGGCTGTAACCCACGATAATCGAACAGGACAAGAACTTTTATGGAACCACTTCTGAACCAAAAAGCAGCATTGTAGGGAACAGAAAAGGACATCCACTTTCAAAAAAAAGCCAATACGTCTGCCGATCAAAGCAAATTAATTACAAATCCTTGTAGACTGATAAGATACAACAGCAGTAGAGGTTTAAAGATTAAGACTTACTTAAGCAAGAAGTAAAGTTTATGGTAAGGTAATAAGATAGACAAAGAGCAACAGATATTTGGAGTATATATTTGCCAACAAGGAAGTCAGCCTTTCCATTATCAGAGATGAAAACTTGCTAGATAGTTGGCTAGATAGCCAAGATTCAATTACATCAGTAAGAAATTAAACATTTCAGATTCAGTGTTGCACTCAGATGCGAATAACTAATTAATATGGTAAGGCTGAGATATACTCAAGAGCCAAATCATGCAAATACTTAAAACTATATTTGTATTAATCTTGCCTATTACAGTAACATCTGATAGCCAGTTGAGAGCAAAAGCAACATGCTATGCAAAATACAAAGTAGTATAGAGATGGTGCCCTTATGATCATCCATTTTCTAACTTCCACTATTACTTTATCCCTGTACAGAGGCTAACAATCTTTTATTTCCTATGACTATAAACATATTTTATCTTCACTATCTATTCACATGATGCAACATCACTATGTCAGTGTTTGCAAACATTCAGCTTAACACGGGAATTTCTGGATTACGATCCTTGGCTAGTACTGCTCAGCAGATAAAGGCATCATCTTGGTCCTCACTGTCTTGAAAACCTAGTTATCCATGGTCTTTTGTGGTAAGGGTCATTAAAATGTCCTCCTTTTTTAGAATTTTTTTTTTAGTCTGTCAAAAAAAATTAAACAGAATAGTGCTTAGTCTTCAATGCCTACTAGAATGCTTTGACAATCATTATCTGGTTTAAGAAAGCTTTGGCCTGTTCTTAAATCATGAGTGGGCTTGGCTTTGACAGTGCAGTGATCCGTTTGTAACATTTTACCACATCTGAGCATGCTAAACCAGTTGGTTTTTCAAACTTATCCGTGCTATAAAAGACACGTTAATGATGCTGGGATTGAAGGAGTATGAGATTTTCACCCATTCTTATTTTTTTTTGCTGATGGTGAAAGTATGCAGATACACAGCAACTTTCAGATGCCTTCAGAAGATCAGCAATTCAAGTTCTCCTCAACAATGTAAAAAACTGTGATTTTTCTCCTCCTCCAGCCACAGTGAGATTGTGTCCAAAGCTATGCTGATGGAATATGTTTGTTTTTATGCTTTGTTTTTACATGAAATGGCATGCCCCATGCCTCTCTGTGGGTTCTTGTAACTGTTGTTTTCTTCAGTGACGCTGAGCTTTCTGTTCTGTGCTGTCATTTAATTCCTATTATTAGATTTGTTTTGTTGTGCATATCAGAAATGAAAAGGCTAGTGGTTACAATGAAAGCTTGTAATCAGCACGAAGGTTGCCAGACAATGCCAAAACTCACTTTGTATGCATGTGTGTGAGAAAAAGAAATTACTTGGCAAAATGTTACAGGCAAGTCCTCAAGGAAA